TCTTTTTTAGGTAGGTTAAGGCTCACACTTTACAGTCATATCTGAGAACTATTTGCCAAACCCAGGATCACAAAATTTTTCTCCTATGATTTCTTCCAGACATTTTATAGTTTTAGCTCTTATGCTTAGGTTTATGATTTGAGTTCATTTTGTGAGTGGTATAAGGATCTAAATTTATCTTTTTGCATACAGATATCCAATTGGCCCGGTATTATTTACTTGTGTGTAAAAGGCTATCCTTCCCCAATGAATTTTCTAGGCACCTTTGTCAAAAATCAATTGGACATAAATGTACTGGTTTATTTCTAGTTCACAATTCTGTTGCATTGATTTATATGCCTATCCTATGCCAGTACTACACTGTATTACCTACTGTAGCTTTTGTGTATATTGAAATCAGTTACTATGAATTTTCCAACTTTTTTTTTTCCAAAATTGCTTTGGCACTACTAGATCTTTTACATTTCCATATATATTTTAGAATCAGCTTTGAATTTCTCCTAAAATGCCTACTGGGATTTTGAAAGGAATTATGTTGAATCTATAGAGCAATTTGGGAAGAATGTCCCTCTTAATGTTCCATGGACACAGAATGTCTCCCTTATTAGTTAGATTTTATCTAATTTAGCAATGTTGTGTAGTCCACTGGTCCATGGACAAATCTTGCACTATTGTTATTAAATTTATCTCATAATATTTTGTTCTTTTTCATGCTATTGTGAATGGAACATTTTTAATTTTGGTTTTAGGTTGTTAATTGCTAGTTTATAGAAATATAATTGATCTTTGCTTATTGATCTTTGACACTGTGACCTGGTTAAACTCATTCTAGTAGATTTTTGGTGTGTGGATTCCTTAAGATTTTCTGTTTATAGGATCATGTCATCTATGAATAAAGAGTTTTATTTTCCCCTTTTATTTGGCTAGAACCTCCAGTGCAATACTGAACAGAAGTGGTAAGATCTTTCATCTGTGCCTGGACCCAATGTTAAGGGGGAAGTATGCTGTCTTTCAGTGTTAAATATGTTACCTCTAGGGTTTTTATAAACATCCTTTATCAGGTTAAGAGCCCTTCCACTCCTAGCTTATTGAAACTTTTTTCTCAGGGATTTGAAGAATAGTTTTCCTGCATTTATTGAGATAAGCATGTGGCTTTTGTCCTTTATTCTTTTTAAACGAACTATAGAAATGATCCCTGAAAGTATAGTCTTTTATTCTTTTAAAAAAAATATTTTAATTTATTTATTTTTAGAGAAAGGGGAAGGGAGGGAGAAAGAGGAGAAAAACATCTATGTGTGAGAGATACATCAATCAGTTACCTCTCACATGCCCCCCAACTGGGGACCTGGCCCGCAACCCAGGCGTGTGCCCTGACTGGGAATTGAACTGGTAACCTCCCGGAGCTCAGTCCACTGAACCACACTAGCCAGGGTGTCCTTTATTCTATTAAATGGTATAATTACATTAACTGATTTTCAGATGTTATACCTTGCATTCCTGGGATAAACCCCTCCTGATCATGGCGTGTATCTTTTCTATATATAGCTGAATTTGGTTTGCTAATATTTTGTTAAAGATTTTGCATTTATATTCACAAGAGATATTCATCTGTAATTTTTATCTTTTCTTTGTAATTTTTTATCTGGCTTTGGTATTAGAGTAACATTGGCCTCAGAATAATTTTGGAAGTGTTCTCTGCTCTTATACTTTTTGAGTTTGCGAGGGATTGGCCTTATTTCTTCTTTAAATATTTGACAGAATTCACCAATGATGTCATGTAGGCCTGGGCTTTTGTCAGAAGATTTTAAATTAGTTCAATTTATTTACTTGTTATAGATCTATTCACCTTCTATTTCTTGTTAAGTTAGTTTTGGTAATATGTGTCTTTCTAAGAACTTATCCACTTCAACTAAATTATCTACTTCCTTGACATGAAGTTGCTCATAATATTCCCTTATAATCCTCCTTTATAGTCAGTAGTAATGCCCCTTTTTTCACTCTTGATTTTGGTAATTTGCATCTTCACTTTCCCATTTTCTTGGTCTTATTTACCAACATCAAATCCTTGGTAAGTGTCTGTCAGTTTTGTGGATTTTCCTGAAAGACTAGAACTTTTGGTTTCAATGATTTTCTCTGTTGTTTTTCTCTTGTTTATTTCAATGATTTCCACTCTAATCATCATTATTCCCATCTTTCTGCTTTATTTAGATATAGTTTGCTCTTCTTTTTAAAAAATATGTATTTATTTAGCCCTAGCTGGTACGGCTCAGTGGACTGAGTGCCGGCCTGTGAACCAAAGGGTTGCCAGATTGATTCCTGGTCAGGGTACACGCCTGGGTTGTGGGCCAGGTCCCCATTTGGGGGTGTGAGAGGCAACCAATTGATGTATCGGTCACACATCGTTATTTCTATTCTCTCTCTTTCTCCCTCCCCTCCTTTCTCTAAAAATAAAATCAAATGAAGAAAAAAAAGACTATATATATATTTTCCAAAAAGAGAGGAAGGGGGAGAAGAGAGCGAGAAATATCGATGCAAGAGAAACATTTATCAGTTGCCTCCTGTACCCACTCCAACTGGGGACCAAATCTATAACCCAGGCATGTACCCTGTCCAGGAATCAAACCTGTGACCTTTTGGTTTACAGGACAACACTCCAACCAACTGAGCCACACCAGCCAGGGCTAGTTTGCTTTCTTTACTAGTTTCTTAGTAAGGAATATTAACCTCTTGGTTCGAGACCTTTCTTCTTTTCTGATCTAGACATTTAAAACTATACATATCACTCTTAGTACTTACTGTTTTAACTACATCTAATACACTTTGATATGTTGTTTTTCTTTTCATTCAGTTTAAAATATTTTAAATTTTCTCTTGTGAGTTATTCTTTGACCGATGAGTTTAGAAGTGTGTTGTTGAACTTCCAAATATTTGGGTTGTTCCCAGGTCTTTCTGGTAGGCATCTCCAATTCTGTTGTGCTCAGAGAACATACTGCATCTTGCATGAGTTCAGTGTTTTCAACTGTCCCGAGACCTGCCTGTGGCCTAGCACTGGTCCACCCAGAGACTGCCGTGCGTGGCCCTTCCCTAGTGCTACCATCTGTTTAGTCACTTCCCTGGACTGTTTCCATGAACCCTGCCTTCACTGTCTGCAGCTGCTCTCTCTGCTTAGTTTTGTCGTTCGGTTTCTTTCTTATTTTTACGCTTAGCTTCCTAGGCTACGTGCATCCTGCATCTGCATAGCTCAGTGTTGAGCCAGTTACTGGCTGAGGTTGTGTTCGGACACCTCTGACGGGCGGTCAGGCTTCCATTTTTTGCTGAAGGCCCCGAGTGTAGCCTGGGGGCACTTTCCAAGGTCAGGATGTTTTCCAGTCCGCCCAGCCTTTACTTTCTGCTGGGTCCTGCTTTGTCTCTTCTGTCCGTGCATAGGCTCCACTGTCGGGGCTGCGTGGGGGACTTGGGTCTGCTCCAGTCTCAGCTACACCTAGGCACAGCCTCCAGCCAACCTGCACTACATGGAGAATTCACTAAGCTCCCCACGCCCACTGGCTGTTTCGCCCCACGGAGCTCTCTGCCGAGTCCCTATCTGTCCACGAGCCCACTGCTTCTCCTAAACAGATCCACAGCCTCAGGCTGGTGGGCTGCTGGCCCTTCCTGTGACTGTCACTGAGACTGTCACTGTGCGTCAACGCAGTCTAAAGGGCCTCTCTACCTTGGCAGTACTGGCGTTGGGGCAGGGTCATCCCTTGCTGTGGGAGGCTGCCCTGCACGGTGTTCAGCAGCATCCCTGCCTCCGCCCACTAGCTGCCAGTAGCAGCCCCAGTTAAAACCAAAGCCACTGCCAATACCTCCTGGAGGGCAAGCTTGCCCCTGGGTTGAGAATACTGGTCCAGAGTATATCAGTCATACTTTTGGAGAAGTCTTTTTCATAACCAAAATTATCATCTTCAATGTCGTGATGTATAATAATGAGAAATGTGTGCACCATATTTAATTTCAAGAGGCACACACTTCCTATACCCGATGCGTAACCTCTTTGCTCCAATGTGTAAAAGCAACCACAAAATACTCCACATTCCTCATCTTAACAGAATAAAAATGACCATAACATACGCTGATCAATAACGCCGACCGAGCACAAGCTGCACCGTGTCCCCCAGCTCGTCGGGTCTGGGACCGGTGTGAGAGGACGAGGCTGGTAAAGCAAGGCCGAGCCAGCCCTGTCTCCAGAGCGGGCAGGGGCTGCCTGTCCTGGGTGGAACAAGACGGCACCTCCAGTCTCACGCAGTAGGCGGGACAATGGCCCCCAAAGATACCCTGTCCTAATCCCGGGGCCTGCGAATGGTATGCGGGAAAGGGGATTTTGCAGGTGTCATTAAGGATCTGGAGACCGGAGACCATCCTGGATTAGCCACGTGGTCCAAAGTAACCACAAGGGTCCTTACAAGTGAGAGAGGAGGCAGAGGGGCAGCGAGGCCCTTGTCCTCAGAGGCTGGGAGCTGGGGGAAGCAGGCAGCCTCCAACGCTGCACCAGGCAAAGAGACAGCTTTGCCCCGCGCCCTCCAGAAGGATGCAGCCTTGACTTGAGCACAGTAAGAGCCCTTTTGGACTCCCAGTCTCCAGAACTATAAACGAATAAATGTGTGCTGTTGCATGGAAGCACCCAGTGTGCAGGGATTTGCTGCAGCAGCGACAGGAGGCGAACGCATTGCACCGCTGTTTGGGTCGGTCCTGTCCCCCAGACCCGCACTTCCAGTGAGGCAGTCACGGTGCAGGCGGCGCGGGGCTTGGGAGCTGGGCACGGAACACAGCCACTGTGTAACGCTGGGCGGTGGCTTCACCTCCCTGGCTCAGTCTTCTCCTGGAAGAAAGGGGGCTAAGAGCACCCTCCTATCGTGAGAGCCAGGGGAACTTGGGATAGGACTTGCTTACAAAAGTGTCTGTCACACGAGGCCGCCCTCAGCCTCATCACTGCTCACCCCCCCCCCCACCGCCCCTCCCAGTGCATCTACAGCGGAGTCCTGCGCGGAGCTGGCAGACAAGCCTTTGGAGCCCTGGTGAACGCGATTGCCTATTACGTCCTCGGCCTCCCACTGGGCATCGTTCTGGCCTTTGTGGTGGGAATGGGGATCATGGGTACGTGGTAAGAGGAGAGGTCAGGGGAGCCCGGGTGGTCCCTGGACACCCTCCCCATTGTCACTTGTCTCCTGCAGGCCTCTGGCTGGGCATGCTGGCCTGTGTCCTGCTGGCAGCTGCTGCCTTTGCTGCCTATGCCGCCCGGATGAACTGGAAGCTAGCTGCAGAGGAGGTGAGTCCGCAGTCCTTGGCCTTGGGACACTCTCACCTGGCCAACCAGGTGAAGTGACCGCTCGCCAGAAAAGCCCAGAGCACATGAGGCCTCAGCAGCAGTGACAGGTGGGGTCACAGCCTCAACACCTGCCCAGCCAGTCATGGGAATCGGACCCCAGACCGTGTCAGTGCAAGCTGTGCACTCTCCAACTGCCCTCAGCCAGCCGCAGCTGCCAAAAGCCAGACTAGAGCAGAGAGCCCACCCAGGCCGGTCCGAGCCCCGCGCGCCCCGGGGGTGTGCTGTGGCTCCAGGAGGGCTAGTGCGTTACCCCGCACACCCTGCTCTGGCAAAGGCCAGCGCTTGCTCCTCAGACTCGGAGGAGGCCTGGCTCAGCCTAAAGGCCGAGCACAGAGGGAGCGTTCTCTCGAGGACCATGATTCCTGGCAGGGTACAGTTTTGCCCTCTTGTGGGCGGCACGTAAGGTTATGGTACATACGGATTTAAGACACCACCACTTTAAAGCACCCCCACCCCTAATGACGAGTCAATGAGTGTGTTCTGCTTTAGTGTACAGTTTTGAAGGCTGGCCACGGACCAGGCCTGTTGCTTCACAACCTGCAGTTAAAGAGCTTCTGGGGTGTAATGGGAAACCACTCCCAATAGGAGGGGGGCAGGGAGAGACCAAAGAGAGAGGGAGGCCACTTCAGATTGCTAAGTGGCAGATTCAACAACCAAGGGAGCTTTCACAGGCGGCTTGTCTGAGGTGGCAGCGACACAGGATCCTGCCCCCACCCGCCAGAATCTTAGAAGTTAATAGACGCCTTCCCTGGGGTCAGTCCCATGCCAGGTGCGGGTCGTCTCGTCGGCATACCGTCGGCACACTGTGCTCTCGGGGCTGTGTCCCTGGGCCACGTGGAGAGCAGGGGAGGCCAGCAGAGCACACGGTCCAGGCACAGGGGAGGGAGGGGGAGCCACCAACTTCAGGTCTAGCTCCCGGGGTGAACCAGCAGCCGCATCTTCTTGATGGCCTTCCCCAACAAGGCCAGGGGTGAACGGGAGGGCTGGCAGGCTGACCCAGGCCAACTCTCTCTTCCAGGCTCAGAAGCGCGTGGGGCTGCCGCAGCAGGGCACAGCGGGCACGGCGCACCCGGTGGGCACGGCGAGCGCAGCCCCCAGGCCCGGGCCTGACACAGCCATTGCAGCTTCAGGTACTGCTGTCAGGGTGCGTCTGCTGGGCTCCTGCGAAAGTGCCAGGCGCACACTGCTCCTGGCTGCCCTGTGTCTCAGGGGATTGGGAACCCTGCAAGCCCAATCCTCGCAACATGAAGACGACACAGTAAACCCCAGGAAGGCAACGCTAGCACCCTTCACAGCCTCAGCCTTGGGAGGCGGCGGGCCACAGCCCCACTCTCAGAGCTCAGGGCTCTTCCTCACGGACCCCCCCGCCCAGCAAAGGCAGGAGACCAGAGCCGAGCCGGATCCGTCCGACTGCAGTGTTCTCACTGCCAGGCTCCAGCTCAGGGCAGGAGGCCACGCCCTGGCCTACCGCTGCTGGTCTGGCAGGGCAGCCTGGCCTCGCGCACAGGGCACCACCCCGTCTCCCCGCTGCACCCTGTCAGGCAGACTGGCACGTCTGCTTTATATGCAGCATCTCTGTGAAGAAACAATGGCCCCAGTCCAAGGCACAGGTGCCCTTGTGCCTTCAGGGCTTCTGCTGGGCGCCAGGCACGCGCTGTGTAGCCCAAAACCTTCAGTCACCCCAGGGTCATCTTGGCCAACTAAACACTTAACATGCATTCTGAAATCATACATGAAAGTTACATTTGATGGGCCCTATGTCCTGACAAAGACAGGCTGAGTCAGAACACACCTCATTGGCTCTCTCAGCAGTAACTCACTTCATCTGATATTGACTTGTCTGGCGATCCCCCCGCTCGCTGGTCCTAGGTCAAGGCAGACGTTCTTCTATTGCACAGGCGTTTGTTCTGCCAGGCGCAGAGGCCGGCTCACCAGCTCTACAGCAGTTAGCCTCAGCTTCCGGACTCCAAGGCTCTTCCCCCTGCCCCCAGTATAGCTCATTTACTCCTGTTTGTCTCTGTAGTGGCCACTGGCAGCAACCCTGGCATCGCCCTGACGCTGTACACACGGGCTGGGTGCCGTTTGGACCTCTTCAGGACCCCAGAGGCAGCCCACGCCATTCCAGCCCCCTCCGGCAGACTGTCGGGGAGACAGCTGGTCCTCCGCCGAGGGGCTGCTCTGGGGGCGGCGGCAGCCACACTGACTGCTGGGCTCATCATGAGGATCCTGACCCACAGGCACTAGAGAAGCATCTTAGAGACAGAGTGAAAACCAGGAGTGTCTGCCCCCTCTGCACCCCCACGTCCACCCTCCCACCCACCAATGGGACCCCGTGGATGTGGACTCCTTGGACCGGTCCTCAGAAAAGGACCTTTGGCAGGTGCCTCCTGTGACAGAGGGGTCTGAATTGTGCAGACTGACAATCTTGTTATGGTTAAATGGCTTTTTCTTTGACCTAGACCGCCCTTTAGAAGACATCAGCTGACCCAAGAGTGAGAATCTTGGGATCGCCACTATGATTCAATAACGTTAACGACTTCAAGTTGGACATTTCAAATCAAAACAAAAACCATGACATTAAAAAGTATGCATTTCCTAGCCACAGTGTTCCTGCCCAGGTCTGTTCACAAAGCCTTCATGAAGCTCTGGTAAGGGGGCCAGCGGGGCCGAGGGCCCATCTGTTGAGGCAATCACATCCCCCCTACCCCACGGGCAGGAAGGCTGCCCGCGGGCTGTTCCTCCCGCCCTTTCAATCCCCGGACATTCTCCCTTACCACAGGCCTTGAAAAACCCTAGTTCTCAAGCTGCAACATGACACAAACAAGGGCGGCAAAGCCCAGACCACCCTGCCAGGGCCCCAGGATGAATTCAGTGCTGAGCCACAGGCTAGGATGATGCCCTCTGGAGGCCTGGTGAGCGTTTCCAGATCCCTTGCTCTATCAGGCTATGTACCCCCATCAAAGGTGGAGGGCAGCCTGGCCTTCACTGCCTCTGTGCCTTTGCTATCGACACACACACACACACACACACACACACACACACACACACACAGATTTACTGATCAAGGATAGGAAAAAAAGATGCAGAGTCTAACACACACACACACACATGCACACACGGATTTACTGATCAAGAAGGACAGGACAAAAGATGCGTAGAGTCTAACTCCCCATCTTGAAGCGTCAACATGTTATGAATTCAGCATCAGTGTTTTCAGTGCCCATGGAGACATCCCAGGCCTCCTGCTCAGCCTGTCCTTCTCCGTGACATGCACATCTTTCCTAAGTGAGCTTCTAGCACTAAATGTAACACTGAGGTACAGGGCATAGCTAGGTAATGTCATTGTTTCTCCAGCTGTGCTCTACAGCTCACAGGCATCGAGGGAAAATGATCCCTAGTCGAGTGAGTTTGGGAACCACTGGCATTTCACAGGCTCCACAGGAGCTGGGCCTTTAAAGTGCTGGTGGAGTGGACAGGCCCGAGCAGGCGGGACGGGCAGCAGGACCACTTTCATGTTAAACCTCGTGGGGTCAGTGTCCTGCGAATGCACTTGCTGTAGATCAGCAAACGAGGATGGGAGGAGGAGATCCTGACGCCGATTCTGTTGGGTGCCTGCCCCACACCACTAAGCAATTCTGATGCCAGCTGACTGTCCCCGTCTGCCTGGAGGCAGCGTCAGACTCCACAGGTGAAGGGCTCAGTCCCACAGGACTGCCCCCGCTTCTCCGACTCCCACCTCCAGCTTCAGACTCCGGTCACAAGTCCATGTGGTCACCTCTGCTTCTGACTAACCAGGTGCAGATTGGAGACCCCGAGAACCCCTCCTCGGGTTCCATGAATTCGTTAAGAGTAGCTCACAGACATTAGATGACCAGTTTACTCTAAGAAAATAGAACTAAGGGGCAGCCAGCTGTAAGCGATGCACAGGGCCAGGTGTGGGGGAGGGGGCACGGGCCTCCACATGTTCACTAGCCCTGCCCCCCATGCCCCGTCCTTTGGGGTTTCTGAAGCCTTCATGATGCAGGCGTTGATCGAATCACTGGGCACTGGTGATGTGGCCTGACCTCCAGCACCTCTCTCCGTTCTAAGGCCTAGGGGTGGAACTCAAAGCTCCTATGCACTATTCGCAAGTAGGTTTCCTTGGCAACCAGCCCCCATCCTTGGGTCCTGTCCAAAAGTCATATCATTAACGTTAACAAGACATCTTTATCACTCTCGTCACTTAGGAAATTTCAAGAATTTCCAGAGTTCCTTGGCAGGAAGAGGGACGAAAACCATATAGAGGTTTACTGTAAATTGCCAGAGCACAGAGGATGTAGTTATAAAAACCTTGTTTCCTACACAGGAACTTTGAAGAACAAAGGGAGCCAGAGCGGCTCCCCTGGGCTCTCCTTCGCCCCTAAGCCTTCCTTGTTCCACTGTCCCAGCTTCAATGAATGTACCCTCAAAACAAGAAACCAAAACAGTGACAACAAAAAACAAATGACAAAGCTGGAAAAAATCTTTTTACCTAAGAATATGAGAAAACATGAAGTTGACAAATAACCATCTTTGATAAAGACAAAATGTGTATTTATAATTGGAGAAAATTTATAATCAAAGAATTATTTCTAAAAGATCACATCTGAGGTTCCACAATAAGAATGTTAATGAAATCATGACAATTTTATCAACTATAATGTATTTTGAAGAATATACTTATTAGTTTAACTAGAAATTATAATAATGTACAATATGCTAAATGAGAATGCCATATTGAAATTTTGTTGAGGACTTTTTAATAATTATTCTGATAGTTAGAGACACAGTTTAAGCAGCTTTTTCCTAAACTGGTCTAGGGATTAATTCTTGCCACCTCATCTTGTGATAAAGACAAAACATACTTTAGACAACTTTACCAGAACAAATCCATTCAACAAAGTTGATGATACATTCTATAAAGTACATTACATTCTCACTGTGTGGGTGGAGTCTGTTTTCAAAAGAGAGGGAAAGGGGGAGCAGCCGCTGCTAGTGGCCGGGCCCCGCCCAGCAGGCGGCCGCCCTCTGCGGATTCTTCTTAGGGCTTCCCCACTGGCCGCGGTGCTTCGGTCCTGGCCGTGGTCAGATCTTCCTCTGCCCTCCATCCCCTTCAGCTGGCAGCTGCTATGGCTTACAGAGTCCTTCTGCAGCCTTCTCCAAATGAGCACCATCAGCCCCAAGGCTCTCAAGATCCAAAATCCTGAATATTCAGGGCTTCTTATCCATGACAGACAGTACATAGTTTCCCCATGTTAAGCTCTGTAGGTTAAATTTATTCCAAAAAGGGCCTCTCTGAAGTTTAAAAAAGTGCAATTTGCATTGTGCTATAGAAATAAAAACTAAGGATTTGCCTTTGGAGATCACTCATTAGCAACTTCAGGGTCCTGACGGAGAATAAGTATTGTAGGTAATGTTATTAATACATTTAAAAATGCCAGTTAGGTTTTGTCAGATGCAGAATTCTGCAACTCCTGCATCATAAGAATGACAGATGACACCTAAATGAAACTGGCAATTGTCCTCTAGGAAGTACCAGGATTCACAAGATGCTTCGGGTATTACCGGTCACGAGCCTTTGTGGACAGGGACAAGAGACAGCCACAAACCAGACACAAGGCAGGATGGTGAGTGGATGACAAAAGAGGAAAACCACTGGTCAGGCAGCACGTGTGACAGAAGAGCCAACTCCTGGAGGTCAGGTCCTCCGGTCCCAAGGGACGAGGGACAGGGGTCCCCCGCCACCCCCTGCAGTTCTAGTGCCTGGGAAGAGCTGCCTCATCGCTGTGACTGCTCAGGACTGATGTGACCCCAGCGGTGCCGAGATCTTCAAAGTTCCCAGAGTGATGGAGGCAGCAGTCGGGACAGGACGGGGCAGGGTGTCCCATGGCCCATGAACTGGAGCGGGGCAGTCACTGAGCAGGTTCTGAGACTCCGCCCCCCAGGGAGCGTGGGTTTAGCCTAAGACACTCTCTTTCCCTAGCCCAGGGCTCTGAGATCTGGGTACCACAATCTAGAACAGGTTCTCTTAAGTCTCCTCACTTGAGGGGGCGGGGTGCCTTTGGCTGATATAGGAAGTTTCATTAGAGGTGTTTGGCAATGACTTTTAGGGTTGATTAGAGTGCTGCATATTTTCTTACTGTTTTTGGTAAGACATTAAAGTTATCAGTTCATCAACTATTCGACAGAGCAGTAATTCCACAAAGACACCCAGGAGGCTGAACAGGGTCACTCTTCAGTAGTATCCACCCTGGAGAAAGGAAAAAGGGATGCAGGTCTCTCTGCTGGTCTGAAAACCCACAGGACCGGTTCTGGAACGTGCGCTGGGCCAGGGCTCTAAGAGCGTTATTCTGAAAAGGCCTATGTCCCCGAGAAGTCCAAGTGTGGTTTGGGCCAAGGATAAAAAGATTATGCCCTCCCCCCAAAACAACAGTAACAGGACAGGTGGAGATGGAAGCGGCATTCTGCCCAATATCAATGGGACAATGTCAGAATCGAGACAGGAGTCACACATGCACGTTGACTGTCCTCACACTGTGAGTCGGAAGCTGGAGTCTCCAAGTGAAATCTGAAACTGACAGGCAGTGCCCAGGCCGCCGCAAGGCCAGAGCAGGACAGCGCTGCACCGCCGCTGCACAGCCTTCGAACTCCTGTGGCGCATTTACTTTTCAAAGGCCTAATCCACACCCTCTAGAGTGCTCTCTGTAGCTTCCATTCAGTTTCCCTGGAACCTTATTTTATGTACTTTTATGTGCATACTTAGATGTACAGAGAAAACTGCTCCCCACTTTGAGAGTCTGACGTGCTCCCTTTTGATTTCCCATTTAAAAGCGTTTCAAATCCATTCTAATGGTAGCAACATGAATAAAATCACATCCACACATAAACAGAATAGGACAGAAAAGCAACTTCAGAAAAATGTTTGCAATTACAATAAAGATTCCTCAAGTAAAATATGTGAAATAAAAGGTGACTGATTTTTTAAAAAATGGATAAAAGTTCAGAGAGAAGAGCAGAGAAGCAGCAAAAGAAAAAGAAAACCACATCTTTACCTCATCTCACAGCGAATTCAAACCAGCCTGGACCACTGACGCGCCCACTCACAGCACCGAGAACCGGGAGCAGAAGGGCCGGCCGCCCACGGACGCGCACCCTCACTGCCGATGGCCACGCCGGGGCTCTCGAAGCCACATTTCTCGCTCCCAGCTGAACACATTTAGGCACGGCTGCTCCTCTAGACCCTAAGGGAGAATGGCCCATCTGCCAAACCCTTTGGGGAGCCGTGGGCAGAGGCGGCCTGGCAGGGTGCCCTGCCGGCCCTGTGGGAGTCTTCTGGGGGCCACGGCAAGCCCCCGGAGCACAGTCAGCTTGGACCTCCAAGTGTTCCACAAGGCTAAGGAAGTCTATTCTGACCAAGAGGATAAGTATCAGGCTGGGGCTGATGTTTCGGGGGAAAAAGCAGGAAAGGCAGACTTTGACCAGAGACCCAAATGTGCCTCGGACCTCAGGAAGGCAGAAGAACAATGACAGAAAGCTCCTAAATTGCATACACTAAGTTTGCTACCATGAATTCTAAAGGCACATTTTTAAAAACCAAAACAACTACTCAAAACAAAAAGAGACTTAGAGGCTTTCAGAAGGTCCTCAAACTGTGACACAAAGAGCTCAGCGTCTGCATGGTGCCTGCAGCCGAGGCCAGTTGCTGGTGCTCCTGCAAGAGAGCGACGGGCGGGAAGGAGCTGTCCCTTTATAAAAAGGATGTTTGCTGCGTAAAGAACAGACATGACCCCCTCCAGAAAGGCAAACAATACAATTAAAAAATGGGCAAAGGGCCTGAACAGACACTTCTCCAAGGACATACGCAGGGCCTAGAGACAGATGAAAGGATGCTCCTCATCACTAGCCATCAGAGAGATGCAAATTAAAACCACAATGATATACCCCTCCACACGAGTCAGAATGGCCATCATAAATAAATCAACCAACAGCGGGAGCTGGCGAGGCTGTGGAGAAAAGGGAGCCCTAGTGCACTGTGGGGGCGAATGCAGACCGGTGCAGCCGCTGTGGAAAACAGAAATTTCCTCAAAACGCTAAAAAGCCTTTTGACCCAGCTATTCCACTGCTGGGATTATACCCTAGGAATCCCAAAACACCAATTCAGAAGAACCTATCCACCCCTGTGTTCATAGCAGCACAATTCACAATAGCCAAGTGCTAGAAGCAACCTAAGTGCCCACCAGTGAATGAGTGGATCAAAAAACTATGGTACATTTACACACTACAACACTACGCAGCAGAAAGAAAGAGCTACTACCCTTCCCCACAGCATGGATGGAACTGGAGACTACTAGGCTAAGCAAAATAAGCCAGGGAGTGAGAGACAAATACCATATGATCTCACCTGTAAGTGGGACCTAATCAACAAAACAAATAAACAAGAAAAATATAACCAGTGACACTGAAAAACGAACTGACAGTAACCAGAGGGGAGGCGGGAGGCGGGTAATGGGGGAAAGAAGGAGAAGGGTCAAAGGAAAGAACATGTATAAAGGACCCCCGGAGAAAGCCACAGCGGGGAAGGACTGAGGGTGGGAGGTGGGAGTGGGTGGGGTAGGGGAAAGTGGTGGCAGGAAAATGGAGGCAAATGTATTTGAACAATTAAAAAAAAAAGTGATGCACGCTACACCCTGCTAAGCCATCACACCTCTACATTTCTTTAGATTCCAGAAACCCACCCTCACCCTTTTAAAATTGTGGAAAAGTTAAATTGCAACACTCTGAGACTCTGGGACAAAGTCCAAAATGCCTGAAGACAAATTAACCCTTCTTTTCCCAATAATCCCTAGGCCTCTAGCTGTAGAAAAACAAACACCTGAAAGAAAACATGCCCCATGTGGCCCATTTACAGGACAGGCAGGGGGCGCTGCTCCTACTGCACTCCCGGCTGACAGAGCTGGGCTCTGAGCGCGCTGCTCCCTGGATGGCCAGGAAATTGCACAGGGCCTTTCCCCCCAGCACAGCTTGGTGTTTCTGAGAAAACCCAGATGATTTCAATGCAGCTGGTATCTCCAATTCCACCAAAGCTGTGATACTGTAAGATGAGCCAACCCCCTTTCAAATTAAATTTAAACAAAATACAGCTGTAAACACAGCTATTTCCATAGCACGCCTGACTCTTGCCTCTTCCCAGCCCACTCCTCACAGGCGCTGCCAGCACGTCCCCCGCGCCACAGACAGCCGGCTGAGCATGCCGAGAACGCACTCCTTGGCTGGCCCTCCCTTCCTAACTCGGGTTACCATGGATTTTCTCTACCCCTCTGGACACACAGGCTGCCTCGGGGCGCCAGCAGTCCGGAGGGCCTCTTAGCAAGCCCACATCTATGAGCACTAGTCACCAAAGAGCGACACTGCAGGGCGGTCACACTCAGAGGAAAAGCTCTCCAGTCTCCTTCCCCAACGTCGCTTTCCTAGCACCGCCCGCCCCCCACCCGACTCTCCACCTCCACGGCGTGCTGCTTTCCTGCACCCTCAGAACACAACCGGAACCGAGCCACGGAAGCGGGAGGAGCCGAGGGCTGGCGGGCGCAGAGCTCTGCGAGCCGCTCCTGCGGTGATCGAGGCCCTGCAGCCATGCTCTGCTCGGCCGCTGTGGCCCTGAGCAGCAGAAGCGCCAAGCAAGCAAGGGAGCTGGCTGTGCTGGCAGAGTTTATTAAAAAACTAGAGGAGCTGCCCAGATGAAAGCAGCGGGTGGGCAGCCCCGCAGGCAGGGTGGGCTCGACTCACCTTGACAAGTACAGCGGCCACGATGCCCAGCAAAGCAAGGAGCAGGAGGCCGAGCTTCTCTTTGTTGAACCGTCTCAACAGGAAAAACTTTGCCCAGTTCACCTTTGACTGGCTGTTGGGAGGATATCTGAGTTTGTTAGTGCTTTCTGTCTTTAAACTCTTTAACAAACAGGCACGATAATGAGATAAAGTATCGAAAGTATATTTTCCGTGATAAACTCCCATTCCGCTCGAACCTGAAATACAGGAACAGACAAAAGAGGCTCCGCTGTAGGCGACGCCAGCTGCTTCTCCGTGTAAATGCTCCCCGCTGCCCGGGACACCCTCGTTTAGCTCCTCAGCCGGCACACGCAGCCGGCACACGCAGCCCGCACACGCGGCTCCTGTCAGGAGTTCTCCGCAGCGCTCCCCGGCGAGGCGAGGCGAGGCGAGGCGAGGCGAGCCTCCCGGGAGCAGGCCGCGCACGGGGTGGGGCTGGCATGCGCAGCTCTCCGGCAGGGGCTCCCCCTGAGGCCGAGGACAGTGCTCTGCGTGCTCTGCGTGCTCTGCTTTCACTCTCTCAATCCCACGGTATCAAGGATTGTCATCTCGCCCCAATTCCAGAGAGGGAAGGGGAGCTTAGCAGTGTCAGGGGACTTGCCCAAGGGGAAGAATGCAAAGAGGAATGTGAACCCAGATCAGCTGGACTTAAGAGCTGTGTGTGTTCTTTCCCCGCCATTCCATGTGGCTTTATTTGTCCACAGCCCTGCAAACCCGCTTCCTCTAAGCTCTCAGAAAGGAACCGAGACCAGCAGGACAGGGTCACGCAGCCAGATAACAAGTGCACATAAGCTGCCGCCCCCCTGAGGAGCCGCACTCTGTGCAGTTTTCACTCCTCTGACCTACGCTGTGCGCCAGGCAGACCCTGGGGCAGGGCACAGTGACACCGTGGGCACAGGCAACGGGGCCAGGAGGCGGTTCACAGGGCCAGGCTGCTGGCCCACTACTGAGATCACAGCTGGAGTGGCAGGGAAATTGGGCAATATATATCAAAAGATAGGTATTTTGAAAAGAATTTTAAAGGCATATACCAGAGATTATCTTTAAACACAAAAATCTAAGTTTTTTGCTCTGGGCCCTAGTTCTACCTTTTCCAAGTCTTCTTAATAAGCCTGATTTCCTTTTGCACTTGGGGAAACAGGTCTGTTCTGTCACCCAGAAGGGGTCAAAGGCAGGGCCTGCGCCCAGGCCACCACATCTGCACTCCACAGGCGCCGGAGCCCTCACAGGGAGGGGCGTCTGGCGGCCGCAGTGGGCGGAGCCGACCCCGGGGCCTGGAGGAAGCAGAGGCACAGAGGCTGACATAGCCCTTCAGGAATGGGGGCAGTGAAAGGCCATGCCTGCAGCCCGAGCCCACTAAACAGTCCTTCTTTCATTCACCACCTCTCCACACCCCAAACACACCCAACCTGCCAGCAAAGCGCGCCGCCTGGCCCCCCAACACCTCCACTCCCTCTCCATCAGCTCCCCTGCCACCATTCTAGTCCAAGCCACCCCCAGTGCCAGCCTCGACCCTGCCCGGTCCCCCGACCCAGCCTCTCTCCACCTTCCCCTCATGTCAGTTGCTGCGCTGAGCGCTGGCAACCCGTTTATGCCCCAGGCAGGGACCTGCGGCAATCTGGGGAGCAGGCCGGGGTTTCTCGGAACAAGCCTGCCTTAAACTGGGAGAGGAGGTTACCAGGCCAACTGGGCCATTTCACTCCCACTGAGTGGTTTATTTATGCTATTACGGAGAGAGAACAAAGCAGGAGCTTCCAGGACAGTGGCTTTTGTTGTCTGCTTTCTGCTATGAGAATTTTTACACTTTTCTTAATTTGTAATACCTCTAATAGATAATAAAGAAGCTTACCACCTAGATTCCACAGCAAACAATAAAAAGTGAAGCTGATCATCCCAGGTGAAAGAGAGACAGGTAGGCCACAGCTCCAGGGGAGCAGCAGGCTGTGCCCACACGGCCTGGCAGAGAACAAGCCTCTCCCTGCCCAGCCTCCCTGGAACACCAGGAGGCTCTTCTCAGAGCCTGAGTGGCTCGAGTAGCGGCTGCCCCTGGGCAGAGGCCTGGGGAGCAGGGGCGCAGTGAGCACCACTCAACGCTGCCCTGAGTAGGCACACAGGGACCTGGGAAGTCCTTGGCCTGCTGTCTGCTCTTGGCATTTTGAACCTCTCGTGTACTACTGCCCTTCAACCAAAGACAGAGGGATGTCATTACCTGAGACCTGATTGTTGGCCCCTACAAAAGCCCTTAAATCTGGGAGAAGGACAATAGACAAGTAAAGCAATGAAAGGAGCAAAATAATGACAGACTGTGGTAAGTGCTACAAAGGATGAAGGGGGGTCACAGGGCAGAGACAGGCCACACAGCAGAGGGCCTGCCGTGGGCAGGAGGACACTCACCCACGCCTCCGAAGGGCAGAGAGCTGAGTATGAAGTGCACGACCACGTCATTGGCTGTGACACCGCCGCTGGACGTGCTGTCGATCATCCGTCGGATAAGCTGAGCGACAGAACAGAGGCTCTGGGTCAGCAAGCACCACACCGGGCTGTGCGCTGGAACACAGGGCCTGCCTTCCCGTGTGGGCACAGCTTTCAAGTCTGGGGACACCGCGCCAAACAAGCACACAATCTGAAGTGTCCACAGAGCTTCACCAGGAGCCGGCCTCTCTGGCCACCTCTGAGTGCTGGCAGCCTCCTTACGCCCCCAAGCCACGGGCCACTCAAGGCCAGGCAGATGCCCGGGCCGGAGGACAGGCAGCCGACGGGCCCACGATCTGAAGGCTCAGACGCCCGTCCAGCACCTGGAGGGAGGCGGCACTGAACAGCTTCTGCTAGAGCAGACGACCCCAGGTGGCAGCAGCGAGCATTTTTTAAGGGAAGAGGCAGTGCAGACTATACTCTGGTTTTAAAAAATTGTTAGTATTTCTCTATCTCTGCTTTAAACTATAGAATGACTTAGTATTTATGAAATGCAACAAATATTTAAGATTCAGTACCAGTTTCTGAAGAACTAAATGGCTGTCCCAAGCCCTGAACACAGAAAAAGATGCTTGCTGAGTGGGGCAAGTCATTTCTCCTATGTGCCAACCAGCCCTTGAGGGTTCTGCCTAGCAAGTGGGAGGGGACTAGTTACCACAGGTGACCCAACTGCTGTGCTCCCAACTGAAGCACTCCCTCCGAGGGCACCCTGGCCAGGGGACTTGAGGTTTTTGGGTCCCACCCCCTGCATCACCTACGGTCATCTAAGATGCCAGACCTGTGCCTGTGAACCACCCCTTCTTTCCTGAGCCGCATGCCAGTCTTCGCTCAGCGCACCCGCAACGGCCTGCGCCTCGGCAGCACCCTGAAGCTGCCACCAGCACCTGATCGCCGCCACCAGAGTCAACTCGTGAACTCCTCAAACCTCAACTGTCCCACTTTCCCCTCTAGTTCTTGCTTTGCTTTCAAGGGCTCTTGAACCTACTGGCCCCCATTGAGGCGACTGGCCCTGAGCAGCAGCCAGTCATCTTGTGACGCAGATCAATCAGCCGCGCTTCCTGCACTTTGCCGGTGGCCGGGCTGCCCACGCTGCTGTTAAGTGGCATCAAAAGTTCCCCTGTGGGTGTGGTTCTACCACCCTCACAGCAAAACAACGCGACTGGAGAAACTAAGTTCTCACCGAGGTCTCTGTCCCACTCAGCCCCACCTGAGTGGCTGTGAATGCCATCTGGGTCAAGGGGGCTGGGGGAGGGGGGTCTCTGACACAGAAACATCCAATGGATTCATGTCAGAAAAGCTCCAATGCCAGTACATCAAAGTCTTCCAATGACGTGGGAGGTACTTGAGCCAAAAAAGTTGTGACAGACACCTGTGGAGTCACAGATCTATTCCCAATGAGCATAGGGAAGGTTACAGTCATAGCCCCAGGGCCTTAGTACCCAATACAGCAATCTAGGAATAGAACCCAGCTGGCAGATTCTGGTGTTACATATAATACACCATCATTTGCTTTACCACAAAGAGGGAACATGATTTACAATAGCAGCTTATGACAGTGTGCTGTTCTGTAAAGCTTACCTTATTGTTACGAGAAAATACATAGAAAGCCAAGGGCTTTTCACGTTCATTTATGAATTTTATGGCTTCATCTGCACTCTTTACAGGCACTATTGGAAGAATTGGTCCAAAAATTTCCTCTTGCATCACCCTGGTTTCAGGATCAACGTCTGTAAGTACTGTTGGGGCTGAAAAGGAAATAAGCAGAGTAAAAATGCTATAGAAGACAGAAATGCAAAAGGCTCACCTTACACTTTTTTATCAGGTCACCTATCTGTCCCATCTCTATTCCTAGTGTTATCCATTGGGAAAAAGCCCCGAGTATGTGGACGAACTGTGCAAATTAAATGTTCGCAAGCACATAAACCAGGGGAGCACATAAACCTTGGTTGCTCATGCAACCAAGAGAAAGATATATACCTGGATATGTCCTATACATATTTAACCCTGTTCACATCCATATTCGTATCCATGTTCATAACAGGAGGTTATGTTCATATCTTTCCGGGAGCACAGACAGCCCTCTATGGATCAAATCAGTAATTCTTTTTTTAAATCCTCACCCAAAGATACATTTACTGATTTCTTTTTTTAGAGAAGGGGGGAGGGAGTGGGGCGGGCAAGAGAGATTGATTGAGACAGATGTTGATCAACGATCTCCTGTGCCCCTTACACACCCTGACCAGGGATTAAAACTGCAACCCAGATATATTTCGGCAGGAGATCAAGCCTGCAACCATTTGTTAGTGCACAGGATGACTGCCAACTGACTGACCCATGTGGACAGGGCAACAGTTAATTCAAGTGCTTTCTTGTATAGAATCTCATTGACCTTTATTTCCATTCAGTTACAGATTAAGAAAATGGTCAAGAGTGCCTAACCCTTAGTTCAGTGTTCCAGCCACTGCGGGGAAGGGGTGCAGCAAAGGAGGGCGGTATGGACGTTGGAGGAGCGTTGCAGAGCGTCCCAGCACTCACGCCAAGTCAGTCACCGGGCAGCCTGCTCAAGACGACTCTGTGAACGCACTGGATGGTGACCCAGAAAGGAAGACTCTTGACAGTGACAAGGTGGCCCTTTTCCTTTGCTCCTAGTTTCCTACTAAGTTCTGGCAACACGGTGGCAGCTCCTGCCAGCATACTCCACCCGTGCGAAAGCTGCTTCCCTGGCCACAGAGCTGACTGGCTCAGGCGTCCACCCTCCTCTGCAGAGCCCCGTGCTCAGGCGAGCTGACCCCAACTCCGGGTCAGCGAAGTCCCTGACTGGTCGGAGCGACTCACGATAGACCTTTCCTTCTGCCACTGATTAACCTAGGAATGGGCAAAATCAACCTGCTGAGGACGGGGTTGCACCAGGCTGTTCCTGAGCCTCTGAAGTCACAGGCCAGAAGCACTCTGGGCTGCTCATATGGAGAATACATTTTCCTTATTGCGTAAGGAAAAGCAGTAAGTTTTTTTTAAGCTGTGCTTTTTGTATTGCGCAGCATCCTATCTGATAAGAGAAAATAAGTAAAGCTAGTTGGGGCAATATTTTTTGCCAACTAAACATGTAATTCTTCTGTTAGCTTGTTTCTTTAGGAAAATGTGCTTAAAATTAAAAACCCATACATTTTTATGGCAAAGAATAACAAACACAAAAAGACAGTAAACAAATAATGTCAAGCACAATAGATCAAAAAGTTATTTCTGCAACAGTGTTGGCTGGCAGCAGTGAGTTGGGGAATTCTGGCTGAGCTGCTTCCTTCTTTGTGCTGTTCTCCCCACCCATAAACTGGAAATAAATAACACAGAGCTCTATTGTGCTTCTCAGGTTACTAAGGAAGAGAAAAAGTAAATAAAATAGGTGTAAATATAAAAAAACTGTTGCAACATAGGTGGTATTATTAAACACATGCATATACGTAATCATCTTTAGTTTATAAAAGTATACCAGGAAGCAGTATATAATAGTTTATTAAACACTAAACATCCATTTTAGTGTCAGTAAACAGTGTCAATAAAACTGTCAAACTGCCACCTCCCCATAAGAAAAGGTGAATTTCCATTACCTATGTAGCGGGTGGCTTCATCAGAGTCCCCACCAAAAGCTATCTTTTGTCCTTCAAGTAAACTTAGTAGCCTCTTAAAATGACGAAGATTGACGATCCTTTCATAATCAGGAGATTCTTTTATATTCTCTCCATAAAATTCCTATTAAAGCAATAATATGTAATTGTCACAAAAGACCCAGATTTCAATTTAATAAGTATAAAATATACTCATGCCCAAAAATCATCTGGCTTTATAGCATCACATCCCACCCCACCAAGTACTTTAATAGTACAGGCTGTTCCTGACTTACAAGGGTTTAACTTAGGACTTTTTTTTTTACTTTATGATGGTATGAAAGCAGTACACATTCAGGAGGAACTGTGCTTCAAAGTCTGATCTTTTCCCAGGTGGGTGATATGTGATGCAACACTATCTCATGCTGGCGGCAGCAGCAAGATGATCTGCCCAAACGCAGGCTCATGTAAGGGTTCTGCGCACATTTACGGTCAGCCAAACTAAGTCATGGTGTTCAGGAGGTTAGGTGCACTAAATCGATTTCAACTTACATTTTCAATTTATGATGGGTTTATCAGGATGCAGCCCCACTGTAAATCAAGGAGAACCTGGACTAGCAGGAGAGTCAAGGACGAGATTAAAGCACACACATACTTATCACATTCCATGGTTTCAGGGGTTCACATGGATCTCTTGCGCTCTCCCCATGGGCCCTACCAGGGGTGAATGCAAGAGCAGGTGCAGAAGGAGGCCTCGCTCTGTTTCAGAGCTGCCTTTGTTTACGCATCAGCTGTGGCTGCTCTCCGCAAGAGCTGCGGAGCTGCAGCAGAAACCCTGCAACCTGCAAAGCCTAAACTGTTCAGCCAGTCCTTTACAGAAACTGCGTGCTGAGCTATGCGCTGTCTCATTGTTTTGTATCTTTCCTGGACTGGTATTTCCACCAATCACACATGACAGGGAAACCACTCAGATGATCGAAATAGTTTCGGTACATTAAACAAGGTAAAACCACTTCAAAGGCCACATAGTCGGTGGTTATTATGTAAAACAAACACACAATCAGTGAATTGCTTCATCACTTTGAAGCCCTGTGAAAGCTCTCAACTCCCTCTCAGATCCCAATGAGCCCGCCCCCCACCCCCAGCCCCCAGTCTCACAGGCAGGCCGCTGCTGATCCAAGCAGCACAGCTGGCGGGCACATCCCTGGGCCCCGGCTCCAGGGCCGCCAACTGTGGTTTTCAACGCTGGCTGTGCCTCAGAGTCACCAGGACACCCCACACCACCTGGACCCCAGTTTGAAGGGTGCGACTGGGAACTCCTCTTATGTGACTCCCTGGTGGCCTCGGTGGAGAACCAGTGTTACCGCACAAAACGTCTCCAAGGAAGCCTGCAGGGCTCCCCGCTTGCATGCGTGCCCCTGCCCCACTAAGCACTTCTCAGTCCTCACGCAGTGCCCCGCTCACAGGGGTCTCTAGGCCCTCTCTGCCGTCCCATGTTCCCCGAGTGCAGCCCCTTCTCCTTTCACGGTCTCTGTGTCTGGCTCCGTCTCCGGGGCACCACTTCTGCCCAAGAGCCTCGGCTCCCAGGCCAGAGCCGCCCTGCCCGAGTGCTGCATCTCTCTGCCTGTCCCGGCAGAGTTCCTGCTCTCTGATCGTAAAGTCACCTTTGGTGCTCTGGACCCTTCCTCTCAGTGCTCAGTTAGCACCTGTCAGGTGAACAGCTGTTCCAATACTTTCTCCCACCCATGGGGCGGAACCACCACTTCCACTGGTGACCTCCATCACACTGGCTCATCCCGTTCCTTTCCTCATCCAAATTCTATGTTTCTTCCAGGCTGAGCTCAGAGCACTACCACACAGCCTGCCTGGATTCCCGCACTGGAGGTCTTCACTTTAAACTGAGAACTATGCCAAGAACATACAGAAATAGTCAGCAATTTGATTAACTCACTGCTCCAAACTATTGGCTACCCTCAACACTCTACATACACAAGAACTAACTGATCACCTTAATTATCAATGACCAACATGCCAAAGTACCTCTAATTATACTTCAAAGCATTAGCAGCATTCTCTCAAAAACCACAGAACATAGTTATTTATTTTAAAGCAGTGATTTTTGACCAGTGTGCCACAACAATTTGTAAAACATGCAACACCTGACTACGCAGTCAGGGGCACTAACCTCTCTTGTCTCTTGGATTGTCAAATAAAAAAGGACAACAGCCACACAACAGCCATCCACTGTGAATGAATCAAAATTATACTTTTTTTTTTTTTGTCAAACTGTAAGAAATATGCTCCTCGGTGTGCTGTGGAATTCTGGTAGTTAGTTTATGTGTGTGGCATGAGATGAAGAAGGTTGGAAACTGCTCTTTTAAAATGTGTGCCACAACTAATCAGTTCTTTCACCAACAAGCCAATTAGTCTAAGCAGGTTTAACACCAGCCACGGCTTGCTCTCTGTAGGGATTCCACAAAAGGGACACAGAGCATTTTTAATCAGCCAGTAAGTTAATTTAGTCACATATACTGTTGGAACTTTCCTGAGAAAGGGAGGGTATGAGGATGCTGCCTAAAAACAGTGGATTTGAATCATCTTAATGAAACCAATGGAATCAGACGTGTTAAGCACAAACCTTCACATTGTCTTTAATCTTCTGCACGATTTGGTTCTGGAGAGACGCTTCACAGAGAACATAGTCAGGAGCTATGCAGGTTTGGCCGCAGTTCATGTACTTCCCCCAGGTTAGGCGTCTGAAGGGGGAAAACCCAGAAGCCCTAGAATTAGGCCTACAATTCATCTGTTACATACTTTTGTGTTGTTTGAACATTTCCAACTAGGATGTAGTCACAGACTTACTTGGTCATCTTTAGAATAAAAACATTTTAGGAACTCATGTCTATGTCAGCTGGTAGGAACTCAGAATGTGTTTTCCCACCAATGGGAAGGACTCAAAAGAGCAGGGAAAGTCTCACGCCAGCTCATGGGAAATGGGGCTGCAGAGCAGTGAAGTCACTGCCTGATACAAGGAAAGAGAAACAGCCTCCCACACCCTCTCCCTCCTCCCACATCAGCCAGCGGGAAGTCAGGGGTGATGGGGTTCCACGCAGACGCCACATCTCCTGCCTGCGGCTTCGGGCCCTGCTGGCAAGGTGTGCAGGTGTGCAGAACAAGAGCCCTCCCTGTGTCGGCAAGTTGTGCCTATGCCAGGATCACAGTTCACGACACAAACATTTACCACCTGAGGGTCCCACATTGTGGCAAGCAGACTTCTACTTACGAAGCCAACGTGGACCCCAGCCCAACCCTGTATACCCCGTCCTTGCTGCCCATCTCTGAAGGGCAGAGGAAGCCATGGCACCTGGAGCACAGAGTTGGTTCTGGGTTTTGGTGCTTCCTGAGAGCTAACCCTGCTTTAGCAGAGAGAACCTGAAACCTTCTGTTTTCTAGTTCCCTGGTGCAAGATGCTGGTCTAAGTTAAAAGAAAAATAATACTGGTTTTATCAACAAAGGAACTCAATTAAGAGATCAACATGACACCCTTTCTATAGAGGATTTAAAGATTTTCGCTAGGTATGCACAGTGCTTTGGATTACCTACTTCCTGAATCACCTCGCAGCAGAACAGTACAATTTCTTACAGGTCTATAATCTCAAAAACAGAAAGAGCTTCTCCATAACTCCTAAGGGAAACCGTGTCATGTCATGACCTACTGTTCATCTCCTTGGGCAGTGACACGAACAACAGTGTGTAAGAGTCCTGCAGCCCCTGGGGCCACCAACCCCTGAAGCGGGGCGCTGATCTTGCTCGGGGAGAGGCGGCCTTGGGCGCCAGGGCAGAGAGGAGCCACTGGCTGTTTGGAAAGCCTCCGCTGTGCTGGGCCAGCCCCAGGCGACTGGAGAGGCAGGCTCACCTGCAGGCGATGTCCAGGTCACAGTCTCTGTCAATGTAACAGGGGCTCTTGCCTCCCAGTTCAAGAGTCACAGGAGTCAGGTGCTTGGCAGCAGCCTGCATGACAATTTTTCCAACTGCAGTGCTTCCGGTATAGAAAATGTGGTCAAATCGTTGCTTCAGAAGCTCTGTGGTTTCGTCAACACCGCCATTAATGACAACATACAGGTCCTTAAATGAAGACAGACATAAATGCTTACACTGCCAAATTAACCCAGTTGTCTAACATGAGCAGTTTCTGCAACAGAAACATTGAGTAAGACCATGAAAAGTTAGAGACCAGCCCCTGTGAGGACAGAAGACAGGGCAGATGGAGGACAAGGGCAGAACAGAGTCCAGTGGCAGCTGAGAACCACCAGCCTGCTGTGCGACTGACTGGAGGGTCCAGTGTTTCCTGCACGAGCTCAGCAATGAAGACACCCAAGGGAAGAGAGCAGGTGGGTGGGTCTGACCAGGAAAATGTTTAAGATGGGGGCTGTGCAAGTTGAGGATATGCGTAAGAAAAACGTGGCTGCTGTGGACGACCATGGAACAGGCCCCAACCTAATGCCTTGACCCAAACATTCTCTCTCAACACAGCACAACACAGGGCCTAGCCCAAGGGAGGAACCAAGTAAGCATCTGCCGAATGACTGCTATGCAGAGCATAGTAGGTGAGAACACTCCCTTGTGAACTGGGTCTGGGCTAAATCTTTGTTCTGCGACTTTCTAGCTTATAAGACCTCTGGCAAGCACTGAACATGTCGGAGCCTCAGTTTCCTCATCTATTACCGGGGAGAAGTCACACAGTTTTGGACTGAGCCCTCACATGACTGTGCTATTGATAACACTATTATGATAGTGGAAACATCTTGAAAAACAACATGAAAAGCAATGACAGAGAACAGACGGTAATGAAGACAGAGATAGGTTCAGAAGATTCTGAGATACAGGCATGAAGTAAAAGTTGGCTTGTGGACCTCATGTTCCACTTGGTCTCTTACTAATTAGGAGAGCTAATGGGTCTTCATTCACTTTATTGTTCAACTGATGAAAAAATGTTTCAAGTTTTAACTTGCATATGGCTTAATCAGCAGAGCACGTGTGACTGACTTCCACATGCAGCTGAGTGAGGCTAGGCAGGCGTCACGCTACCCACCTGGACAGTCAGAGAGCGAAGAATTTACCCCTGGGGCAGGGCCAAGCAGGGCCTTCCACCTCTACTTTCTGGTTCCAAATCCTACTCAATCCATGACACCTCATTGCTTTCAGCCTTCTTCTGAGCTAGACAACCACAGCCAACAGAACACTGTTCTGTGGGCTACCGAAGCAAGGCTTAAGATGACAAAGAACAATATTATTCCAACAGCCAGAGTTGGCCTCTACATTATGATAAACTAATGAGTACAACGACAAGTATGACATTTCAAAGAAGCCTGTCAATGACAATGAAACGAGGACTCCTTCCTGCAGCGAGTCCCTGTGGAACTAAATGGTCCCAATTCCATGGCAGGGCCTCCCCCATTCCCAGCCAGGGGAGGGTGTGAGGACCTCTGATTTGGACAGGGGGGTGAACCACCTATGACTGAGGAGATCATTTTCCTTATTCAGCTCTGATACTCTCAAATGCCAGCACCTTCACCTAAGGGACAGTCCCTACTGTGGCTTAGGAGGCCACTTCCTTTCCGTAGTTTAATGCCACAAACAGGCCCATTTTAAAAGCAGAAGTGTTCTTATATGGTATTTCATTGAGACAAGAGAGGTTATCAGAACCCAGCACAGCACTAATTCCTCATTAAGTAATTCTCTAAATGAATACATCTAAAATCATGTTAGATCCAACAAAGGTTAATTCAAAGTGCCTTGTGGCAGAAGAGTATCTATATGCAGCAGGGCGACTATGAGTCATGGCTCAAAGGTACTTCATAACTATAATGGCTGACCTAGCCCCCAGTTTCCTCTGGATCTTAACTTCTTTTATTAAACCAACTGCTTGCTGGAGGCTGAAGGAAACTGCAAACAGCTCCCGAGGCATCAATTACCGCACTAATTGAGAAGTCAGATTTGCGATCCCCATGATAAACAGATGTGCTGAAGATGGTCAAGACATTCTTACCTGATCTAAGTACTGGGGAAGGAGCCTCGCCACAATGTTGGCTGTATTTTCACTTAGTTCAGAAGGCTTGACAATCACAGCATTTCCTAAGCAAAGAAAGCAGGACATTACCTTCTAATACTCAACTAAACTTTTTAGTAGCTACCAAAAATGTTGTTCATGAAGGGAGTACAGGCTAAGTGCTCCAATTATTTCTGCTGCTCTTAATTCTGCTCTTCCTCATCATGAGCATGAGAGCTTGTCTCACTTTCTCTTTCTCAAACGCTAACTTCTTGGTTCTCGTTTTATTCAGGTAGCTGACAAAAGGCCCAACCGGCCTCCCCTACTCCTCTATCTTTCCATTGCTTTTCTCCCACTCCCACTCTTGGATTTTCCTCTCTGCCCTGCAGTTAATGGGCAAAAAGGCCTTGTCAACATAAAGCTATTGATCTGAATCTTGCAGAAGTGAGACATTAATCTCTTGGCATTTATTATAAACCCAAGCTAGCATTACTACCATAGCCCCTATCTGAATGACAAAATGGTCAGACAGAGTCAAATGGCTCATCCAAGGCCAAAGCTAGCAAATGACACTTCACTGGAGTATGCCTGACTCCAAATTCCTGAAGCTGTACCTATGCCTTTATTTGCTCATAGGTTCATTTCCTGGGTGCTATAAAAAATAGTTACGCTGGCCCTGACTGGTATGGGTCAGTTGGTTGGGTATCATCCTGCGAAGCAAAAGGTCGCAGGTTTGATTCCTGATCAGGAAACATGCCTGAGTTGCAGGTTCTGTCCCTGGTTGGGGCACATTCAAGAGGCAGCCAATCGATGTTTCTGTCTCTCTCTTCCTCCCTTTTCCCCTCTCTAAAAATAAATAAATGAAATCTGGGGCGAGGCGGGGAAGGTTACTCTGCAAATCTCCTCTGAAGCCCATTTTTTAAAATATATAATATTTACGAATTCTCAATACACTGCTGGTGTAAACCAAGGCATAACATCAAAGCAAATGTGTTTAATTAGCCACCATCCTTAATTTATAATCAATGAGAGAATAAGACCCTTGAAAGAGGTATCAGAAGAGGACATCAGACCTGCAGCAATGGCTCCTATCAGTGGCTGAATGACGAGAAGAAAGGGGTAGTTCCAAGCTCCTATAATCAGCACAACTCCCAAGGGCTCCGGTTGAACAAAGGCCTCATCCAGCATGGTGAGAATGTTCTTCTGGGCTGGTTTAGCAGTAACCCACTCAGGAAGCTTCTCTAGTACTAGATCAATTTCTCCAAGAATGGTAAGGACTTCGTGACTGTATGCATTAAATTCACTCTGTTAGGAGAAAGTCACAGTAAACCTTGCATGAGGATGACACATTCAGCCATGAATGTCAAAAACTTCAGGCCAGGTACCCCTGCAGTGCACATATGCATTATCAGACTAGCTTGTTTGCCATTCCGATGTCTGTGGCATCCTCCAAGTCCTCAATCAAGACTTGCTAACTCCTTCTCCAATATGATCCAAGCCATTGAAAAGCAGGCCCAAACATACCTTTTAGGATGACTTCCCTGATTAATAATGCCTTGCTTTGATCACACTTTATAATAAACCATAGCAACTATGCTTTTGACCTGTATCTTAATATTTTAACCTTAATACAATGGTTTATAACTATACTCACATTTTGTCTGTGTATGTTTTGTTTCCCAACCAAATTTAAAACTCTCAAGGGCAAGGAACTTATTCCATTTCTTTAGTAATTCTATAGATGCACTTATTCACAAAAACATTTGATGCTCGTACAATGATTCCAACTTTTAAAAATCTTAATTATCCCATCTTGTTTATTTGATATCACAGTCCCTCTCCACTTAAAGTACATTAAAGGAAGTTTTATACTGTTGTTACTACCCTTCAAAATAACCTTTGATTCGGAAACTGAAGGTGAGAGAGGGAGACTCACAAAGCCAGAGCAAAGTCTTGTTACCCCGGACTAAAGATGAAAACTTAAGAAAATAAATAAATAACATTAGAAAATATAGGGGAATATCTTTATGCCCCAACACTACCCAAAACCTTGCTCAGTTCCAGAAAAGGCGGCATGACACCACCTGGAACTTATTAGAAACTTAGAATCTAAGACCCCCTGCCAGACCTTCTGAGCCAAAATTTGCATTTTAACAAGATCCCCAGGTGATTCACCAGTGCACTAGAGTTGGAGGAGCACCGACCTAAAACGAAGTCATGGAGGAAAATTTAAGTCCAACCACTACCAAAACCCTCTTTCTGCGAAAGAAACAATGAACAGAGTTAAATACAAGAAATAGACCAGGAGAAAATATCTGCAATATATTTTGAAGACAAATGACCGAAATCCAGGATATACCAAAAATTCCTACGGGAAAAGGACCATAAATCCAACAGAAAAACAGGCAAAAAATAGGACGCAAACAGAAGCCAGAAAAGATAACACTTCTGTGTCTGCTGACACGCACAACAGGACTGTCGCTAAGCAAGGTGGGAGGGTCGGGAAAGTCACGGGAGCTTTTGCTTCACATGAACTGCTGGAAATAATGATTCCACAGTACTTGCGTAATCAAAACTAAAGGAAAAAATGCAAAAGCTCAGGCGCAGTGCGCTCCCCCCGGCAGGGCGTACCTTGCTCAAGTCGGAGGCGATGGCCGCCAGGATGTCCTTCTCGCGCTCCTGCACCATCCTGCGTAGAGCCCGGAGCTGCTGCAACCGGAACTCCAGGGGTCGGGACCGGCCGGTCCGGAAGGCGTCGCGAACCCGCTGGACGTGGCGCTCCATGGCCTTCCTTGTGCTAAAAAGAGAGGGGAAGTCGAGGGACGCCGCGGTAGCAGAGGCGTCACAGGCGGCGGCGCCGCTCTCCGCACCTCTCTTTCCACTTCGAGACTGGTGAGCCTCCCAAGCCTCACCTCACTCATCTGACGGACTCTCCGCACTGATGGTGTTGGACATCCCGAGAACCACCCAAGAGCCGCCCGCGGGCTGGGCTCGCAACCTAGCCGCGCGCCTATTGGTCAGAGCGGGGCACGTGACCCCGCAGCTGGCCGCCGGCCCCGCCCGCTCCCTGGGGCCTCCCGGGCGGGGTCATTGGGGTTGAGACCAGCAGACGAAAAAAGTCCGTGAGTGGTTTCGGAGCCGGCCGCGAGGGGTCCCCGAGAAGTGGGTTGGGGTACCGAGGACAGCCGAGTGCCAGGCTGGAAGCGCCCGCCACTGGGACGGACGCAGCCCTCGCACAGAGACGCTCTCCGGGCGGGATTGGGGGAACAAGGGTTCCTCCTCCCGCCTCCGATTGGTGGCTGCCGAGGGGTCGAACGCGCAGAGGCCCGAGGCCTGCGTGGCCGACGCGCGGGGTGTCGCTGGGAGTGGGTACGGCTCTCCGCGCAGCCGCAGCGCCCCGAGAGAGGCTGCGGCCGGAGGTGATAGGCCTGGCCCCGCCTTGTCTCCAGCCTCACCCCTTCCACTCTTCGCTGCCTGGGCTTCTACCGCCTTCACCGGCGCCAAACGACCCCAGCAAGGTTAGCCCCCGAAGGCAAGTGGCCGGCCCGGGCGTTCCTGCCCGCGGGGCGACCGTCATCGCAGCCCAGCGCTCGCGGCACTCCTGGCTACCTTCCCACCGTCAGAGGCCCTTTGTGGTGGGACTCCTAAGAGGGATCCCACTCCACTCAGATTCTCCTCGCCGCTACCCGGCCGCCAACCCCAGCGCGTTTGTAATCAGTTCTCATTGCTCTCCGGCCCGCAGCCGGGGGCCCAGCACACACCCCATCGGTGTCTTCCGGAGAAGCTGACTTCGCTTGCTTTGCGCCACGCTGCGCTCCCTGACTGAGCGTGACCTCCCTCCCCTTCCGTACCTCTAAGGGCTCAAGCGCCCCAGGACTATGTCCTTGGCCCTCTTCTCAGCTCACGGAGGAGGTGGTCAAGATGCTTCAAATTCCACCTGCGGTCTCACCCTTTCAAGTAGGCATCTCAAAGTTCGCTTCAGGCAGAACTTTTGATGTATCCTCATCCACCAAGCAAATAAAATGCACACCTTCCCCAGTGTTCCCAGTATCAATACAGGGTGCCACCCTTCATCTCACTTAGGCCAAAGGCTTTGGAATCATCCCTGACGCTTCTCTTTGGCGCTGTCTTAAAAAAAAAGGAAAACAAAAAAAGATCGAATCCGTCCACTTCTCCCTTGGTCCAAGTCGTAATGATTTTTCACCTGCGCTTCCCCACTTCCCTGGACTCCCTGGTGATCTTTCACGTCTCAGATCTGCATTTGCCATTCTACACTCTGCAGTGCAGAGGCCCAGCTTCTTGGGCCACCTGGCCCTTGCCAGTGGGTGGCGTGAGCTGCTAGTAAAAAGGCAGAGAGAGGATAGTAACTTTTCTTCTGATTCAATCATGCGTCAGTTGCCGCCATTTCCATAGTGGAAGTGTGTAGGGTAAGTGGAGGCAGTCTGGCTTCCTCACCCAGATTCTTGAGTAACTAGGGTGAGCAACTTACAACCTCGAAGGAGTCTGATAAAACAGTTATAGCCTTGAGTCTGGGTGAGATAAACTGCCCCTTAGCCTTGAGGAGGCGCGCATGCCAAACTCATGCCAGGTGACTTTTTGGCCTTGAGGCCAGCTTTGTTCCTTCTAGTACTGAAGAAGTTAGGGGCTCCTCACTGTGAGGGGGAGTGGCGCGCTGACACGCCCCCGGAATAAAGGCATGTCAAGCCCTCCCACGGCTCCATGCCTTTTCATGTGTCTACCTGAGTCTCGAGTGGACCTGCCCAGCCCAGGGAGACTGCAACACGAAGTGGAAATGAGAAGATTCCTGACTCCAGCAGTTCCTTCCTTGGCCAAGGTGGCACATCTAGTACATCGAGGAGGGCGGTGATAGCATCTCCAAATGGCACAGGAGCAGTTCCAGTTTCTATGGGTTCCAGCCAGGGGTATTCGGGACAACATCTATACCACCCCAGTCTTCCTTTGAAAGTTTATTACTCTTAAAATTTCCTCTGCCTGAAAAAGCTAGAGTGGTTTCTCTTTCCATGGCCGCATCCTAACTAGTGCAACTTGCTATATATACTGCCTTTTCTCCACCTACCTATCAGCAATCTCTTCAGAAGGTACCTTGGCCGTGTTACTTCCCTGCTTACAAATTTCCGCTTACTGTGACATTTAGGACAAAATCCAAAACTACACCATATTCTGCAAGCCCTGTATGACTTGGCCCCAGCTTCCTCTCCAACCTCATATTATTATTCTCACTTAGTTGGAGTGGTCTCCTTGCTGTTCACTGAACACTGTTCCCATCTCAGAACTTTTGCACTCTGCTGTGTTCTTTGCCTGAGTGCTCAGCTTTCTCATTTAGTTCCATCTCTGCCTAAATGTTACCTCCTTAAAGAAGGCCTCACTGACCACCATGTCTAAAGTAGCAGATTCTGCTGCTCTGTTCCTTACCCTGTTTTAGTTTGTTTATGTGTGTCTTCCCCACTGAATGTCTTAAAAGTCAGGGACTTTTTCACGTTCACTGTAATATCAGTTCTTATTATAGAACCTGGCCAATAGTGGTACTCAGTAAATTATTTATTGAAAAAAATGAATAGTAAACTCTCAAATTCTCTAGTCTCAGTGTCTTCGCACTGTCCATTTTGTGGCTTTCTCTCAGCAGCCTGTAAAATTTGAGACTTACTTAAAGAGATTTTTGCCCTGACCAATGTGGCTCCATGGGTTGGACGTCATCCTGTAACGTGAAAGGCTGCGTGTTTGATTCCCAGACAGGGTACATGTCTGGGTTGCGAGTTCAGTCATGGTACTTACAATCGATGTATGAGCGATGTTTCTCGTATCAATGTTTCGCTCCCTTCCCCTGTCTCTAAAAATAAGTAAATAAAATCTTTTTTAAAAAGTAAAGAGAAATTCTTGGGGAAGGAAAGAAGTTGGCATGACCATCAAACTCTTCATTACCTCCACTTCTCCCTTGTGTTCTTTTGGAGGGGGAAAAAAGAGTCCACCCAGACATGCCATGGTTAAATGGGAGACTGCAGGTGAGCAGTCTTCTTATATCACAGGGAAAAGTTGTAGCTTTCAACACATACCAAGCCTTTAAAGCAACCCCATAACTAACTGTGAGTGTTGCCTGTGCAGAGCAGGCCAACTATCTAATGTCAATATCTAGAACTGTGTAGAAATGTTTTAAATCAGCTCAAAGTTCACCACAGAGTTTACCCAAGTATTTTTTAAATCTGACTGGACGACCATTTTTAACCCAAAGCTAATAAACATTATGTAAGGGACTAGATAAATTGAGGTATGAATTATGCCACAATTTTTAAAAAAATGTAAATAATATACAGAATTTCAGCATGAAAATAGAACAGAAACCAGTATCATCTAAGGCAAGTTAATCTCTGAATGGCAAAGAGCTATTCCTGCTTTGGATAAGATGTGGGGGTGCCTTTAAAAGAAACTATTTTGAGACTAATGGCACAATCAGCAAGAGTTTGACTCCTTACCAACTCTTGAACATTTTCTTTTCTTAAAATTTTTTCAATTTTTTAAAGTGTATTTTATTGATTATGCTATCACAGTTGTCCCATTTTTTTCCCTCTGCCCTCTGCCCTCCACCACCTCACCCCCCAGCACTCCCCTTCCCCTTAGTTCATGTCTATGGGTCATACATATAACTTCTTTGGCTTCTCCATTTCCTATACTATTCTTAGCCTCCCCCTGTCTATTTTGTACCTACGATTTATGCTTCTTATTCCCTTTACCTTTCCTCCATTCTCTCCTCCCCACTTCCTGATCACCCTCCATGTGATCTCCATTTCTGTGATTCTGTTCCTGTTCTAGTTGTTTGCTTAGTTTGTTTTTGTTTTTCTTTAGGTTCTGTTGTTGATAGTTGTGAGTTTGCTGTCATTTTACTGTTCATAGTTTTGATCTTCTTTTCCTTAGAAAAGTCCCTTTAACATTTCATGTATTAAGGGTTTGGTGATGATGAACTCCTTCAACTTTAACTTATTTGGAAGCACTTTATCTGCCCTTCCATTCTACAGGATAGCTTCGCTGGGTAGATTTATCTTGGATGCAGGTCCTTACCTTTCATGACTGACTACTTCTGTCCTGCACCTTCTTGCCTGTGAGGTTTCTTCTGAGAAATCAGTTGATAGTTTCATGGGAACTCCTTTGTAGGTAACTGTCTCTTTACTCTTGCTGTTTTTAAGATTCTCTCCTTATCTTTAATCTTGAGTAATATAATTATGATGTGCCTTGGTGTGTGCTTCCTTGGGTCCAACTTCTTTGGGACTCTGAACTTACTGGACTTCCTGGAAGTCTATTTCCTTTTGCCAGATCAGGGAAGTTCTTCATTATTTTTCAAATCAGTTTTCAATTTCTTGCTGCTCTTCTTCTTCTCCTTCTGGCACCCCTGTGATTCACATGTTGGAATGTTTAAAGTTATCCCAGAGGTTCCTAGGCCTCTCCTCGTTTTTGTGAATTCTTGTTTCTTCATTCTGTGCTGGTTGAATGTTTATTTCTTCTGTTCCAAATCGTTGATTTGAGTCTCGGTTTCCTTCCCTTCACTATTGGTTCCCTGCATATTTTTCTTTATTTCACTTTACATAGCCTTCACTTTTTCCTCTATTTTGTGGCCATACTCAGCCATTTCTGCGAGTATCCTGATTACCAGTGTTTTGAAGTCTGCATCTGATAGTTGGCTATCTCTTCATTGCTTAGCTGTATTTTTTCTGGAGTTTTTGATCTGTTCTTTCATTTGGGCAATATTTCTTTGTCTCAGCGTGCCTGCTACTTTGGAAGGGGCAGAACCTTAGGTGTTTGCTAGGGTGGGGCAACCCAGGGGGCTACATTTTGATGCTGGTGACACTGTATTTGGGGAAGAGGTCTGAGAGGGAACAATGCTGCTTGCTCTTGCCCCACTTTCTGTCACTTCCCCCACTGCCCACAAGCAAACTGGGCCCTTTTGGTGCTGATTCCTGTTACGTTCCCCGCTGTTCGAATTACTCCAGGACACAGGACTTTTCGCAAGCGCTTTATTAGTTGGCCAAATGAACCTGCGCAGGGGCAGACCCTCCACCTACGAAGGGCGCGCCGCT